TTATTGCTGTGGTGAAGCGGGTTTTTGTATGGCAGCAGACCTGAGATAGTTATAAACATAATCTGTCATCCATGCTTATGTGCTTGTTTTTTTTTATGGCTAGCTAATAATTAAGAATTTGGTGAAAAATTTCTGCCTTTATTCACAAAACCTGGGGACTGAAGCCCACTTTAGCATCACATTTCTTCTGCAGTGAGCAGGTTAAGAAAATTAATGAATGCTAGTGGTTCAGTCCGCTGTTACAAAAACACATTCCTTAATTTAAATTTTATTCTAGCCTGAAGATGAAGCTATTGTTGTTGGAATGACTAACAGTGTCTTGAATATCCGTCATCGGAAACGCAATGAAAATAAGCAAGAAAACAGGAAAAGGGGACCATCTTACAGATATTTCATAAAAGGAAAAGATTACATGCCAAAAAAGGTGAAATGTTTATACAGCATGTATAATAATGGCTTTTTTTTTGTTTATCTACTTGTAGAAATATCTTAAATAATGTACTTTGGCATATGACTAATAACCGATGCTCCACATTGTATGTTGAACTTTCTCTTTTTGTGGTCAGATTTACTTAATTTTGGTTTTGTTTGTGAAATGCAATGGAACATCCATTAATGTGGACAAAAAATTCTTCAAGGTTTAATACAAAAAATTTATAGGAAAGTTTTTACAGAACTGTCCTCAAACAATCCTTTTAGAAACCATGTTCATCTGGATGTTGATTTGCTACCTTTGCTACCTTTGCTATATGCATTTACTGTTGCCGTCCACCCCACCTCACCCATGCTTGACTACTTGTAAATTCTAATCATTATCTGTTGTTTTGACTTCCACTCTTGGTTTTGTTACGTTAAATAACGTGTCTTGGCTTCGACACTTGCATCTTACTCTGCAATTCGCTGTTGCCATTTAGATGTGGCTCATTTCTGAAAGCTGTTTTTTTTTCGATAATATTCACATATTTTCCGTGTTTACAAATAAATGGATCACATTTCATGATGAAAATATGAATTCTTATTACTTTCTTTGAAAAATAATTATTCTTTGCTAAAATATTATCCAGCATTTTATATTTTCATTAATATCCTGCAACTAATTTATTTTCATGTTAATTTTATTACAGGATGATCTTTTGGTCAGTAAGCCAGTGAGGTCTCACCTGAAGAAGTATGACAAACTATTGAAAAGTTTCCAAGTTTCTCTTGCACTTGATGCTGTTTTGGAGGTAAAGACGTCTCTTTGACTTCACTGTACATCATCTTTGGTTTGTAAGCCAGTGCTACGTGATTTTTTTTCTGCAGTGAATTACACAGTGTAATGAACGGAGTTTAGATTTAGTTCTCAACTTTGAAATGGATTCTCAATTTCAGCATGAATTGTTTTTGTTTTAAAAATAATGCCCCTGATTTTGCTGCCAGAATACCAGTAAATTTAATGATGCACATTGCTGTTAACATGTAGATCCAGCAGCCTGTGGCAAGGAAGAGAGAACTTGTGAATTGCCGCAAATTGCTCATGATTTGTGCCATTGGGAAAAATGGTGGCCCACCTCCATCATCTTCAATTTTGCGAAGTTGCTGCATTAGAACATTAATTGCAAATTAAAGTTGCCTTGCCACGTTAAAGCTAATACATAAATGTCAATACTGTTTTTAATGAGATTTTGTCCTTGCAATGCCAATCAACTACTTCAGTTCAAAAATGTCACAATTTGAACTGATTTTGTATGCATCTATTTTCTCTCTAAATGGTTCAGCAACCGTTCTGGGAACAGACCCTCCTTTCTGAAATTAAATCATGAACATGTATCTCTTCAGCACACTTCACATACTTGCACAGACTGGGAACTTTTTTGGTCGATATGACTGAGCTGTTCATTAAGTAAACACATTGAATTAGAATTGGGTAAACTATATTTAACTATTCACAGGTCAAACTTTCATGATATTTTAATATTGTGTACCTTTCAATGATGACTTCTGAATTCACCATTTCATTTATGTTATAGTGTGTAGGTTTAGTGTAAATTTGGACATATGCACTGTTCTAAACTGAGTCATATTACGTTGCAGTCAAAAGTCAGGGTAAAGACGCCAGAGATTACCACAGGTGTAATGCAAGAACTTAACCGGCGAGGTGTACTTCAAAATGCACTTGCAGGAAGAGATGAAAAACAGCTCAGCGTTCTCCTTAGCTTCCTTATCAGGTAATGAGGCTTCATCTTTGCATGTGCACTTTAGATATGAATGTACACAATTAGATGCCTCAACTCTTAATTCCTTGCTCTGATTTCAGAAAGTACAAGTGTAAATGATTTGGGTGTAACACACTTGTGTTTAAATTTCAATTATCTTTTCCACCCAGATTGTATTGATATTACTAATAGAACTGCTGTCCTCCACTCCTACTTCTCTTGTGGGAAAGACCCAAGTTATTAAATTTTCTTCCATGTTTTCTACAAACTTTCCATGCCCCCTAGCTGGGCAGCACAGAAGACCGTTGCACAGACCTCTTTTGTTATCCAGTAGATGCACAAGTGGACTGATTTCACTGCTTCTATATAAGTGGGATAATATTAAAGAAAAGACTTGTGATACCTTTCATGGCTATAGGATGCCATAAAACACTTCAGTGTAATTAAGTAATTTTGAATGTAGACATGTTGTAACATCAGAAATGTGGACAAATTTTCTTACAGCAAACTCCCAACAGCAACAGACGACCTGTTTTTGAGTATTTGAGGGATATGTGAGATATTTTAGGCAGGACACTGTGGATAACTTCCCTGTTCTTAAAATAGTATTTACTTGGTAACTCTCTCTCCTTTAACAACTTGTTTTATTCTTGTACGGAATGTACAAGAGGCAAGTGTATAAAAGAGTGACTTTTGTAGCTCATCTTTAATTGTCCTTGAACTGATTGATGCCCAAGGCCATTTCAGAGGACGCTGAAGAGTGAAACACATTGTCTGGATCTGGAGTCACATGTAGGCTAGACTAGGCAAAGATGGTAGATTTCCTTCTCTTGAGGATATTTGGGTGACAGTAGGCTAGCTGATTTTTCCTTTTATTTGAATTAAAATTTTGCCATCTGCTGCAGCCCCTGAATGTTTGCCTGGAGCTCTGAAGTGCCAGTCTAGTTAGATTACCATTATGCTGCCAACTCCTCTAGTGATTAAAGAGTTGAGATTAGAGAGTTGTGGTGCAGCATCCCCAATTTCAGTATCACGCTTTACCACTCTTAACAGAAAATAAGCCATGGTGCATTGCATTAACATGACATTGCACATGGGTCAAGAGTTTTAACAGTTATCGAGGCAATCAGAAACCTGAAATTCTGCCTTCATACCCTAAATTGTCACATGCTGCTCTTGCTCAAATTTAAGAAAAGACATCTAGCAAATAGGTTATGTTAATCAAAAACATAAATGTTGAAGTTTATTTGGCACACTGATAATACTGTTTCCTCTTGTGGGTTTCTGGGGAAAATTGACATTTAATGGCTTACCTTCATATTTTCAGGAATGTTGTTGATCCAAGGTTTACACCTGTTCTAATAAATGTTGCAGAGATTATTATTGGTAAGTTATTGTTTTCCTTTGTTATTTGTACCTCGCCTTTTAACATTTGACTTAAACATGTTGCCCCTTAGTGACATTAACAGATCATAGAATCCCTACAGTGTGAAAGCAGGACATCTGGCCCACTGAGTCCACACTGAACCCCCAAAGAGCATCCCACCCCTCTACCCATATCCCATGGCTAATCAACCTCACCTACACATCCCTGGGCAATTTAGCATGGTCAGTTCACGAATCAGGCTGCTCAGACATGGTGACCTTTTAATTTTTAATTGAGCTCCTGACTGATATCCTGTCCATCACCAAATCTGCCTGCATCCACTTCTTGCATTGCCTACCACAGTTCATTCTTGCTTTTGTTACCTTTGGATTCAGTTTTCCAAATGCTGTTCTGGCTAGCTTTCCAACTTGCACCTTTCGGAAATTTTGCTATTCAGATTTCTGCCTGTATCTTAACTCATACCAAATGTAGTTCACCCAATCCCCGTGCACAAAAACTCTCATCCTTATTTTAAATTCCTCCCATAGCTCTGTAACCACCTTCATCTGTAAAATTTTATTTGTTCTCTTGTGATGTTGTTGTCACTGATGAGACCAGTATTTGTTACTCACTCCTAATTGCCCTTGAATGTGTGACTTGCTTGGGCCATTTCTGCGGGCAGTTTAGAATCAACCGCATTGATGTGGGTTGTGGGTCACGTATAGACTGGACCAGTTAAAAATGGCAGATTTCTGTCCCTAAAGGACATCAGTGAACCTGGTGGGTTTTTATGACAATCAATGATGCTTCTGTGGTTTCGTAGAAATCTGAAACAAACATGGAAAATGCTGCAGAAATTCATAAGGTTTTGGCAACATCTTTGGATAGAGAAATACAGGGTTAACATTTAGAGTCTGCTATGACTCTTTAGAGTTAATATGTTCTGAAGGAGAGTCATATCGAACTGGAAACATCAATGCATTTTCACTCTCCAAAGATAATGCCAGACCTGTTAAGTTTCCCCAGGATTTTTTGTTTCATGCTTGTTATTACTGTGACTAGCTTGTGATTGTTTTTTATCAATTGAATTTAAATTCTACCAATGGGAAATTTGAATCCATGTCCCAGGATATTAGTCTGGGCTTCTGGATTACCGATTCATTGACATTATCACTGTACCATCATCTGCCTAAATCCTAAGATTCACTCCTTGGCTCTTGCTGCTTGTTTTCGGTTTACATTGCATCAATGTTGGCGGTTGTGCCTTCAGCTGACTATTTCCTCAAATCTCTAACTCTTTCTGTAATTTGGTCCACCTCAGTTTCTCTCTTCTTTGAAGGTACTTCTCAAAATCTACTCCTGTTACTCTTCTTAAATATTGTGCACTTTAAGTGCAGAGGAACATTTTACTTTGTTAAATTTGCATAAATGCATGTTGGAATTTCTGTATTACTGTGTTCCATTCTTTTTGGGAGGGTGCAGGGCAACTTCTGTATATACCCACTATTATTGATCTGACCACTAGAAGGTACTAGGTACCAGCTTGGAGTAACTTTTCACTCCCTACCAGTAGAAGGCCTTTGGACCATCCTTCTCCCCATCCCCGAAGGATCAGCATGATGGGAACTTGCTCTGTGATTGAGAATAACCCCACTTTGTAGCAAGTGTTTAAGCATTTTCATTTTGTTTCTAAAGATAAACGTTCATTCTAGTGAATGTGTGCATTATTCATCTATCAGTCAATATATTTTCCACATTGCATTTCTATCACAGTACTAGCATTAAGCCCTCCATTTTAATTAATCATGGTTTTGTTACACTAGTTAAGAATTATAGTTTGTTTATTATGTATAAACATCACATTGTGTAGTAGATTACATATCTTTGAGTCTGGAGGAGCACAGCAAGCCAGGCAGCATCAGAGGAGCAGGAAAGTTAACATTTTGGTTCAGGACCCTTCTTCAGAAATGGGGGAGGGGGAAGGGAGCTCTGAAATAGAGAGAGGAGAGTTGGGGCTTGGGAAGGTAGGTGGGATGGTGATAGGTAAGTGCAGGTAGGCAGTGGTGAGGATTGGCCATTGGGATAGGTGGGAGAGAAGATGGACAGGTTGTGTCAGGTCAAGGAGGCGGGGATGAGAGGGAGGGTTGATCATGGGATGAGGCCAGGGGTGGGGAGATTTTGAAACTGGTAAAGTCCATATTGAGACCATTGGGTTCTAGGTTCCCAAGCCTACAATGGTCTCAATATGGACTTTACCAGTTTCAAAATCTCCTCATCCCATGACCAACCCGTCCATCTTTTCTCCCACCTATCTGCTCCTTCCATCTCACTGACCAATCCCCACCACTGCCTACTTGCACTTACCTATCACCATACCACCTACCTCCCCCAGCCCCACACCTCTTCTCTCTATTTATTTCGGAGCTCCCTTCCCCCTCCTCTATTTCTGAAGAAGAGTCCCGATCCGAAATGTCAACTTTCCTGCTCCTCTGATGCTGCCTGGCCTGCTGCGCTTATCTAGCTCCACACTGTGTTATCGCTGACTCCAGCATCGGCAGTTCTTACTATCTCTGGATATCTTTGAGTCTGTTTGTTTGCAGTTACATATTTTGCTGCTGCCTTCTCCATCCCATTCTCTTGAATAAAGTACATTTGAATCTATTTGTGACACCATGTTTGGGCCTCAGCAAGATGATAAGTTTTGATTTTGTTAACAGTAATTTGATGAATAACACTGCAAGTTTGCTTTTCAATACATGTACATATAAAATCAGTAAGACCATGGAAAGCAGATTAATTACAGAAAACAGAAGAGAAATCAACCTCTTTGAGTATAGTAGTAGGCATTGCCTAACTGCATTCCTAATTCCTCAACATCGACAGAGACCTGGAAGCAGGTCAGTTGCTGTTAGTGTGTGGGAGACTGGGTATTGTAGAATATAGAAGAATAAACATTTCCAAGTGGTTTGCAACTTCACAAAAAATGCAAGAGATTTTAAGAGTTGAAATCAAGAGAGCCTAACTTCATTTTGCAGCAAAAGGGTTGATAATGAAATGGCCTATTCAGTTTGCAGATGACACCAAATTTGGAGGTGTGCTGGACAGCGAAGAAGGTTATTTCTGGGTACAATGGGATCTTGACCAGATGGGCCAAGGATTGGCAGATGGAGTTGAATTTAGAAAAATGTGAGGTGTTGCATTTTGGAAAGGCAAATCAGGACAGGGCATACACACTTAATGATAAGGTCCTGGGGAGTGTTGCTGAACAAAGAGACCTTGGATTGCAGGTTCATAGTTCCTTGAAAGTTGGATTGCAGGTCAATAGGATTGTGAAGAAGGTTTGGTATGCTTGCCTTTATTAGTCAGTGTATTGAGTATAGGAGTTGGGAGGTCATGTTGTGGCTGTACAGGACATTAGTTAGGCCAGTGTTGGAGTACTGCATGCAATTCAGGTCTCCCTGCTAACAGGAGGGATGTTGTGAAACTTGAAAGGGTTCAAAAAGATTTACAAGGATGTTGCCGGAGTTTGGGGGGCATGGTTTGAGCTATAGGGAGAGGCGGAATAGTCTGGGGCTATTTTCCCTGGAGCGTCTGAGGCTGCGGGGTGTCTGTATAGAGGTTTATAAAATCATGAGGGGCATAGATAGGGTAAATGGACAAGAACTTTTCCCTGGGTTGGGGGAGTCCAAAACTAGAGGGCACAGGTTTAAGGTGAGAGGGGAAAGATTTAAGGGGCAACTTTTTCATGCAGAGGGCGGTGCATGTATGGAATGAGGTGCCACAGGAAGTGGTGGAGGCTGGTACAATTACAAAATTTAAAAGGCATCTGGATGGGTATATGAATAGGAAGGGTTTAGAGGGATATGGGTCAAATGCTAGCAAATGGGACTAGGTTTATTTAGGATATCTGGTTGGCAAGTACAAGTTGGACTGTTTTTGTGCTGTATATCTCTGACTTTAATTTATGTTTGCCTTGTCAGATATTTATAGTTCTGTGATTGGTGAGTCATCACTGGTTGATAACCAGTTCCTGAAGCTGCAAGACCTCATAGAGAAAGAGATTGATTATCAGGAAGAACTGCTTGAGGTCCTCGGAATGATGGATACAATATTTGCAACCATGACAACTAAAAAGAATGCTGCTGTTTGCGGAAATCAAAACTGTGCCTTAATTGCTGGACCTAAGGAAGAACCAATGGTAGTTGCCTGAAGCCAAACCTCTTCACTAACATCATAAACTGGATTGGGCACACTTGCATATAAATCTGTATAATCCCCAGAGAAGTGAAGGTGAATACTGTAAATATGAATGAAACATTTACCCACGCATCTGCTAATGTGTTATAGACAGAAACAAATTTGGTGATATAGAGAGTGTGCCGGATACATAAAATTCTTATTGGCTGAGTTTCTTTAGGGAGGTTAATACTGTGATATTGTACATGTTGAGTAAGTAGAGATTTTTTTTCTCATTTCTGCCATCAAAACCTCACCACTCTTACTAATGGATATACAAAGAAAGAAATGCAGATTTAAAACAAGAGACAATGGTATTCTGCAAAATTGATCTTTTAATTCAGAGACTTACATTTTGTACCAAGGAAACTAAATACCTATCATGATGGAAACGTAAAGTTTTTGGCTTCAGTGTGCTTCATTTTCACATTACAGCATTCTTGTCTGATGGCCTCCCTCTGGAAGACGGAGTGCATTTTGTATGTTATTTATACTGACCGATCCACCAGAAGAAAGAATATTTTATAAAGAGATAGTAGGAACTGCAGATGCTGGAGAATCTGAGATAACAAGGTGTAGAGCTGGACGAACACAGCAGGAAGGCTGACGTTTCAGGCCTAGACCCTTCTTCAGAAAAATTTTTTTTCTCTGAAGAAGGGTCTAGGCCCGAAACGTCAGCCTTCCTGCTCCTCTGATGCTGCTTGGCCTGCTGTGTTCGTCCAGCTCTACACCTTGTTATCTCAAAGTATTTTATAAAATCATTTTTTAAGACCAGAGTAGGAAA